TATTAATAAAATTGAATGATAGACTCGCAATCAATTTTATTAAAGTATATATACACCTTTAATTACAAAATTTAATATAGCTTAATAATTGTATAAAACATTCAATTAATTCAATTAATATAAAATTCCGATGTAATTTTATATTAATTTGAATTGATAATAAAGTAATGTTATCAATATAAAATTTGACTTGGTTTTATCAACTCTTCATCGAACTATTTTACATCGTAATTTCTGTCCCGATTTGCTACGTTTGCAGGTAGAAAAAGTACGTCGATATCAGTTACGACGAAGAAATGTATAGATGATTTATGATTTCAATCGCTGTTCGACGGCTCTGAACGTCGCGCGTGTATATAAGAAAAAGTGAAATATTTATACGAGAGCGATATATAATTGATAACGTAACGGAACCTCTCCATTGTGTTACGATATTCTTCGAGAACGTTAAGTTCACGGTATCGTGGGACCTTAATCCAGCCATATTCCGGGCCAATAGATAAAATCGCACGCTCCTTACGAGCGTAGGCTTGAAGAATGGAGAATTTCATATCGATATTCGATTTTCTCATCTGGCGCGGCACACCGCCTCCTTTCGCGATCGCGCTTTATAGGCCAAAGGAAAAAGAATGACAAAACGTGAACGAATCCGTGATTTCGCGCTTCCATTACGCGATAGATCATGAACGGTTACTCAACCGCAAAAACGGACTCATGCCGATCGTTTGCAGAAACAGTTTTGTCCACGATAATCTTTTTATCTTTCTATCATAATTTTGAACGAAGATAGACGCGAGAGATAAAGATCATGACACGGTTATGCATCAAGCATAAAATTGACGTCTGAATATTACTGTATTATTTAACAAATTTTTATTTCTCCCGTGAGATCTGGACGGGCTGTCTGGTCGGGAGCTTTACGAGGGAATCTCGTGTTATATGAGGATTGGGTTTAATATTTGACAGTTTCATCGAGCGGACAATAATCTCGCGAGATTATTTATCTTTGGGAGATGGGAATTAAATCGATTCGCTAAATTACGTAGAGATCTCCCCCTCGCCCCTCTCCCGGTGGGATTCCACCGAGCATGAATGAATATTTTAACAGAGAAAAGGCAGCCAGCATTAAGGACTTTCTTATTATTAAAAAGTTCACGATAGAAAATAGCTTATTACTTTCAATGCACACTCGTACTTTCCAATAAACTTCATTATTTCAATACTCTTATGAGAGTTTTTATTCATTTTTTTTTTATCATTTATATACCCTGAAATGTTTTATAATAAATGTAACTTAAAACGTACATTTGTGCTCTGTCAAAATATAGTATTATATAATAAAGATCTTGCTCTTTTCACTTCTTTGCGTAGACAGAAATAAATTTAAAATGTGTTTTTGTTTATTAATCGGAAATTGGGATTTATTTCTAACAAAAATATCTTAATATCATTATAGATGTACATGCAATAATTACAGATTGAAAATAAGGTTTTTGTAAGGCAAGTTAAAGTTATTAAGAAATATATAAATGAGGAAATGATATTTTTTTAGTTAATTTTACATGAATCTCAGCATAATTGGTTTTTAATTGTATAATGTAAATAATGAAGATTGGAAAATTGCGATGAATTATCTTTTTTTTATATTCTCGTTAAAAAAACATTTATGTCAATTTTTTCTCAATAAAAGAATGAGACGTTTTTTAATTAATTCATGTGACATATATTACAATTTTCTTCTTTTTTTTACAGAAGAAAAATCTCTTAAAGAAGAGGCTACTACGATATGGTATGCGTGCAAAAAAACATGAAGGTAAATTTTTATTTCATTTATTATCGATCAATTTTCTTGCTATTCACATCGATCTTCGGGCAAATATACATATCTTATGTTTTCTAAATCTTCGGCTACTGTAGTGAAGAAATAAGATTTCAAAAACATTATAGGTATATGAGCCAATCCAACGCGGACTCATCCATAAAATAAAGAAGCTTGTAGCCCGGCGACGTTTCTTAAACAAAGCATAATCTACGGATATTCAATATCTTCGATATCGATGGCGTTTTAACTTTTTCTCGGAAAGGTATTCGCGACATCCGTCCTCCTTGAGTTGCGTGTTCGAGGAAGTTCGAGAAGTCGCCGAGATTCTTTTCTCAGTTTCGCTAACTGTCCTCGACTTTGAAATTCGTCGAAATTACAGCGAGAAGGGGTATCAAATATCCCGAGTCTTCTCTGTTTTCTATCCCCCGCGCGCGAACAAACGGGAGACTGCAATTATATAATCGCAAAGCTTATTGTCGCCGGGTTGCGCATCGCACGGTTAACATTAAGACTTTCTTTAATTACATATATTGAAGATCGTTGAAGCTTTTCGCGAAAGCACCGAAAAAGTCATCTTTCCGAAGCCATCTTCCAGAACACCCTATTATTTTTTATTATTAATGATACAATTGGCGGAATGACGATTTTTTCATTTCTTGAACGCGGAAATGGGCGAGTGATTTTGCTCATTTTACGCGTGTTAACCTGATGAGAGAGTAAAGTCGATTATGTCTAACGACGTAACAAACACCGTGCGCATTTTTATCGTGCGCCATTTCCACGATCGCACTCAAATCGCCAACGGCCTACTTAGAACCCACCCAGCCGGGCAATTTATTTTCATTTCTCCTAACGATCTCCCTGCCCGCCCCGCGTCCCATTTTCTACTTTAGACGACGAATAATTCGAGAGAGAGAAAGAGAGAGAGAGAGAGAGAGAGAGAGAGAGAGAGAGACTCGTCCGAGAACGCCCGCGATTCATTCGGCGCGATCGATCGCGTCATCGCGTTAACGTTTACGGCCGCCCGAGGAATCTTGTAACGCGATTACGAGCGAGCTGGAAAACGCGTATAATGGCTTCCGCCGTCTCGAACGGATGCGACGTCGCCGTAAGACGGCCCAGGCGTCGATTTGACAAAGGGACCTAGTGAGCACCCAGGTTTTAACGGCGAAGATTTTTCATCTGACAAGCGAACGATATGGGGGAGAGGGGTAGGCAGCTGCCGCCGCAGCAGCGTGTTCGGAAAACCTCCACTTCCGTTTGCCACCGCGCGGCATATGTTCCGTGGAAAGTTTAGAAAAAAAACCCGAATGTTAAACTTTTTAATAAATATTTCATCGAGTTTTGTTTTAGCAACTTTGCACTCTGCTCCGCATATAAAGTTTCATGACCCAAAAATTAGGATTACGTAATACATTATACATTATGTCTAGAAGCTTGCGAGACCAACGGAATTATGCATTATACATTGCGTCTTGAGATACTTACAAAAATGGTATATAATTTTATTTATTAATTCATGACATACGTCATAATTCCGTAATTATTCTCTTCTATATTTAAAATCTAATATTCTCTTTACAGTAAATTTTTTTTTATCCCCTTCCCCGCACAATGCAGAAAATTAAATATATTTAACTTAAATATATTTTTATCAATGAGATTAGAAATAAATTTAATATTAATAAATACTTCTTTCAATTACAAGCGAACGTTATTTTAATTTAATTATAATTTAAAGCTAAATCGTAATGTTTATAAAAAAAAGTCTAAATTTATGAAAGAAAATAGCATCTAACACACACAAGTTTCCGTACTAAACACAGCGTACTTTTTTGTTAACTGTGCATTATTTTTCTTCTTCTATTTTCCCTGAATTCCTTTCCTTGCCCTTTCTGCGGATTTGCCGTTGTCGCGCCGCGATTGCGGCACAACAGCTCGTAATGCGTAAATTTCCACGGATGTGTACGCACCGCTGCATGATTAAGAGAGACTCGACTTCCACGAGATGTAGTGACAAGGAACGAAATACGAAGGGGACGGAGAGAGGAGATAACAGAGAGACAGGGAGGACGGGCTTGGTGTGCCGTTTGCATACCGCTGCATAATATACGTAACTGCGTTACGCGGCGTACAATGCGCGCATTAGGGAAGGAATAACGATACGTCGTTTCGCCAGCTTTGCGCTGCTCTGATTTGGTCCTGACGTAATGATGTTCCGCGTCGCTTATTTGTTCCGCCGAAAGCGCCGCGTGACAGACGAGGCAGGGACGAGTGAGATACATACGATTCCGACTGACACATATATATATATTTTTTTGTTTTTTCGTGAGCAATTAGTTAAAATATACGCCGATAGGAAATTTCGTCTAAAATCTATCTTGTATCTTTCTCTTCGAGAAAATCACCCTTTATCCGAAATCGGCTTCGCGGGGCACACGTCTTCGTTACGTGTAATTGAATTACCTGAATCCCATTAGTGGCTCATCGATGCGACAGTGACTCGAAGTCTGTATGCACACGATCGTAATTAACGATCGTAGTCGGCGTATGTACGTGGAAACCATGTTGTTTGCCAATGACAAATTCGGAGCTTACTTGATTGAATGTAACGCAAGCGCATACAGAGCCGGCCTATCCGCGGCGTATATAACCGCTGTCTTACGAGATATTAAACCCATAACCCGGTCATGCCGCGCGTCGCGTGTAATAGAATTGGTCAGCGTCACGGGTGGAAAACAACAAAAATCGTTGTACAACCGCCCGGGTCGAGGAGCCGATATAGCCGGCGCGGCGCGGGTCCCGCGAGGCAGCCGGTATTCGCTCGTGCATGAAATCTGTTTGCCGGCTTTATCGCTCGCGTAGTTTCATGGCGCAGCCATTTGAAAAATGAAAAAGAGCCCGGTGGCGTACCGAATAACTCTTTACCCCACGACAATTCTTATTGCCTCGCGCGGTCACGCGTTTTTTTTTTCATTTTTCATATTTTTTTATTATATCGTGCACAACACCCGAAAATTTATTAGTTGGCGACGATTCTCGATGAAACGAGAGAAGGGCTCGTTATCCTTGTCCCTTTAAATCCCTGTCTGTTTTAATCCCGCTGCTCTATTTGCAAACTGACATTTATATCTAATGCCATATCCTAGATTCGTTGCAGGAAAGTTTTATTACTCACCCTCGGCGACTTGCGTTTATTAGCGCTCTCGACGCAGGGAAAGCCACCGCACTGAAACACACAAAATGCAACTGTGTAACATTTCGTTTGTCTTTGTCCGATTGCGTCTAATAATAATAATAATAATAATAAGTACGTAGAATATTTCGGCAACGATACTTCGCTCAAAAATCGTTATTCGCAGCAATTTCAAGCGAGCAAGAAAGTTCGTTCGGCGAATCAGAGATTTTTCCGTGCAGTATTGACCGTAGAACTGGAGAAATATTTTTATGCACGTGATATACTAGTGCCAGAGAGATAGGTGACATAGATTGGCTTTATGGTAGAATAAACGCTAGATGGCACGTTATAAACCTCATTCGAGGCGATAGCAGTCTTCGCAGCCTTCACTGTAAACGCTGCCACTTGCGCGAGGGGTTGACTGATCCGCGCAGTCATTTGGGTTTAGCGAATCCACGTATCCGAGCTCAATATACTCGTGTACACGTACATACACACCCGCATACGTACACACATGAACACGTGTTTTTTGCGAGAAATAGTGCAGCAGATAGTTAAGGAGAGTCGAAACAAAATTAAACAAGTAACCAAACCTAAGAAGGAGAGGAATAGAATAGGAAGAATAAGAAGAAGAACAAAATAGATTCGTATAGATAGACGAAATAGAAAACACATAGAAAAACTAATTTCTTTTCTTTTGTTTTTCTTTTCTATCGGATAAGAATCCAATCACATCCATGAACTCGTACTTTTTGCGCGAGAGACAGTACAGCAGATAGCTGAGGACAGTCGAGGCAAAATTATACAAATAACCAAAACCTAAGAAGGAGAGGAGTAGAAAGAATAGGAAGAATAGAAAGAAGAGTAAAATAGATTCATACAGATAGACGAAATAAAAAACTCATGGAAAAACTAATTTCTTTTCTTTCGTTTTTTTTTAAATCGGATAAGAATTGTATGCGCTGCGAGCGTTATCAGAAAAATGTATTAACTTGCAGTTGCGTTATAGAATCGTGTCGAGAAAGAGAGAGAGAATTTAACGCGATCGATAGGTATAGGAATTCATAGTTACGGAAGTTATACACCGCGGTTATTATTAACTCTTATATTACATTGCAAGGGAGTGTAACATTGGACGTGCAGCATTTGTAATAATGTTTACACGGTTTACACGCGGATGCATAATAGGTATTATCGGCGAAGATTTACAAATCGAGGGGGATTCTGTGCGATACAAGACTCGCGGATAATGTAATTCACCCTGATCCAAACTCTAATTTAACACGACAGACAATGTAGACTTTTTTTATTTATTGCCCGTTCTGACGCGTTTATTATGTTACAAGGACCGTAATGATAATTACATGCAAAGTGCGTTTACGTAAAGCGAATGAGAATGAATCTCCTAATTAATGAAATTTTTATAAAATTATTAAAAAAAACGCCGAGATATAAGTAGATGATAAATTGAGAAATATAATTGCCATTACATGGAGGAATATTCTCTTTTTATCGAGAGACTGTCCGATCGTTAATTCATCTACATATTTCCGCTACCGAGTACTTTCCGCGAAATACGTTTATGCGCCGTTATAATCGCAAAGAAAAACGCTCGAAATGTCGTCTGTGCAAAATGGGTGCCGCAGGACTCGTCGGCGTGGCAATAATTCGGCGCGCGTCCCTCATCCGGCTCGTCTGTTTATTACAGCATACGGTTTGACGATGGTAGGAAAACCGCGCGCGTTTTTCCAACCTCCTTTCCCTCGTTACCCGGGTGGCCGAAACGAGCCCGTCATTTCGAAACGTGAGAGACTCGCGCAATGCCGTGGCCGCGATACACCGCGATACCGCAAATGCGGTTTATTATTTTATCGCGACGGGCATAAAAGTGACGAGCGCCATGCAGCTACGTACGGGATTTCTGGGTCTCGCGTGCGTGCGACGACAACCCAGAATTGCGATGCGATACGGAATATCGCCGACCGACTTGGTCTCTCTCTCTCTCTCTTTCTCGCTCTCTCTTTTTTTACATTGGAACTTAATTCTTAACTCTTTTAAGTGTCTAACTATGCGCACGTCCGGGAGGAGGCGAGACATCTGTGGTAAAAGCAAGTAGACTCTCCTTAAGTGATTAATCGATTAAGGTTTCTTGCTGTTAGCTTATGACATCGTTATTTTCCGCCACTCCATACGGAAATAATGAACAAGAGCGGTATTTCGTAATTGCAGGTGCGTTTTTGTTCTATGTGTCGATAACTTTGAAAAAGCTGTTTTTATTACCGCCAGCTAATCGACCAAGCGTTTGTGTCTACACATGTGCTAAAATAATGGTTAAATATTATATCATGTAAATATTTTTCGTGAAAATTTTCGACAACTTAGTTCTCTGAAGCGTTCTAAATTAATCGGTTTTTGCTCTGAAAACATTGAGCGTATTGCTGTTTAAAAGTGTGTTTTGATACGAATAAAGTTTGTCGATAAAAAATCGTCTTTTTTGTGTCTTAAATTTCGGAGCAGCTTAAAAAAAAACAGAATATGATACCATTTTTATACATGGCCGTTTTTGCATAAAACAATTGCGTTGAAAACAAACTTATGTAAATTTGTATGAAATTTACTTCGGTATGCATTGTTCTGGCAAAATGCAATATTCCTGTCAAAAATATGACCTGAGAAACTCGGAGCATGCCGGGACGGTGGACGAGTTTGCGAGGGAAGGACGTGAAGGAAGGACGCTCGGTTTTGTCGATGATTTGCCGAGCGGTCGCGACGCGGAAGAATGGAATTGCTTTCCGCTTCCGGGAAAATTCCCGCCATATTCCCTGAACATGCTACTTCCGATTTTATACATATATATATATATATATATGTATAACATTTTACAATTATTTTAAATCATCTGATGGAACTAGAAACGTGCTATACACACACACACGCACATATATATATATATATATATATATATATATATATGTATGTATGTATGTATGTATGTATATATGTCTGTCACAAAAAGATTTACATAATTTTGCATGAGACTAAAATTTATTGATCGGCTGCCATTGCTGTTAACGTACATCCTGTCAATCGAACGCTCGTCACTGAAGTATACATTGCCGACACGGTGCGTGGCGTATGATCGACATTTTTGAGATTGCTATCGTTACGACGTCCCTTCATTCCCCCTCCTCCTCCTCCTCCCTCCCCTCTCTCTTTCTCTCTCAATGCAAGCCGTATCCCCTCTTCCGTCCCGTCAAATTTCGCCGCTGTTTGACGTATTCTATAAGACGCTCATGACGGGCTTTACCTTTTACCCGCTCGACGTGAGTCGTTATTTAAACGTCTTGGCGAAGACAAGAGGTGGCAGGACGGGAGGAAAAAGTTGAGGAAACGGAGAAGAGATATTCTCTCTCTTTCTCTTTCAATACAGTTTGTGCTTTGCTAAAATTGTGACATCAACGCTCTTGTTCAGTTATTTTGTATCTTAAAAATGTATTATTTATTCAAATA